GGCCATGCCTGCAAAAGCTGTTGTATCACCTCAGGATAGTCATGCGTCACATCATCCTTGATTGATGACCTCAACCCATTTAGTGGCTCGAGCACTTCAGAATCAAGGGGTAAAGCCATATACACATTGACTACCCTTTCCTCCTGCCCCTAGTGGCTGGCGGAGAAATGGAAACACCGTCATTCGTCCATTCACACCTAGTTCGTAACTATGTTCTCCCACCTGTAACCGTACTCCAGTTTGACTTAAAAAATCCAGACCTAAAATAAGGGGAAAGGCAAGCTGTTGGTCCGACATCACATAGGTGTCAATTGTCCAAAACTGGATACGTTGTTGCGAGAGGGTGTGGGATAGCGCTCATGTTCATCTTCAAAGAGCTGTACGAGTTCAAGAACTCTAGGCAAACCGAAGACGGCGCCCACATCCTCCCTACCAACCGGGACAGAGGGTCTGGCTCTCTACGAGGGACATCAAGCTACGTCTGCCGAGCAGGAAGCTCAGCCCAAGGTATGTTGGCCCATTCAAAATCTTAAAACAGATAAATGAGGTTACATATCAGCTTGAGCTTCCTGCTAACTACCGCATCTCTCCATCATTTCATGTCTCGCTCCTCAAACCGGTCCACCCGAATGCTGACCCCAACGCTGAGTCCCAAGAGCCACCGCCTCCGCTGGACATTGACGGATCGCCAGCTTATAAGGTGAACATGCTGCTGGACTCGAGGCGTAGAGGGGGTCGGCTTCAATACCTGGTGGACTGGGAGGGATACGGACCTGAGGAGAGATCATGGATACCTGCTTCCGATATACTGGACCCCTCACTCATAGAGGAATTTCATCGAGCCAGGCCCGTCCGTCCAGCACCACGACCACGGGGACGCCCACGCAGAGCGCCAGGAGTCGCTCCTAGAGGGGGGGGTTCTGTAACACCAAGCCAGCAGAGGGAGCCCTCGCCCGAGTATTGACTGTTAGCACTCCCTCTGCTTTCTCTGCAACCACTTCCTGTTTAGTGGCCATATTAACCTGGCCACCACATGACTACTTTGCGAAGTATTGCCAGTTTATCCTGCCTTACCAAGCGTTTGTATCTCTGCCTTCTTACCACGTGTATGACCTGTTTATCTGTTTGTTTTGACTTCTCTTTTGGATTACCCCTTTTGCCTGTTTGCCTGGTTGGACTGCCTTACTGTGTTTTTGACCTCATTGCCTGTTTTTACTGACCCTGAGTTTGGTTTTGTTGGACTGCTTCAATAAACATCCGCATATGGATTCTTCCTCGGCTTCCGCCTCACCCTCATTACAGCTATGGGAAATGTGATTGTTTTTTTGTTTTGTTCTTTGTTTTTTTCTAAAGCAAAACCCAAATTGTGTGTGATTACACATACTCCAGGTCAAGACGCGGATAGCTAATGAAAAATATTTATGAAATGTTACTGAGTGACTTCTTAAGGTCAGCCAGTTTTATCATTATATATTATATTATTATTTATGTTTGTCCATCAAGGTCACGCAACCTTTATATATATATATATAAATATATATACATTCTCTCTTTCTCTCGCTCTCGGTCTCTGTTTAACAGGAATGCGTTTCTGAAAAGGCCTACAGATATTCGTGAATTTGCATCAGGTAAATTTGTATCGGACACTTTTGCACACTTTCTTGCAAGCCACTTGGTAGAACTACTTAACATTTATCATATAAATATTATAGTATAAATAGTCTATAAATAGTCTGTTTCTTAGATTGAATAATTTATTGTTCTTCAAAATATTGTTGAGCTTATTACAACAGAAATTTGTCTTGAGCTCAGTCCTCTGTTTTTTAAACCTGTAACAAACATAAACATCTTATTTGATTAATAATAATAATAATAATAATAATAATAATAATAATGTGTACTTTTATGTGTGAAATTGTACTCTTAAATTAAAGCCAACATCTCTTTTTTCTAGATCACTTCAGTGACCCAGGACTGCCAAAGAAAATCCAGGCGCAAATGAATATCCATAATAAGTGAAAAAATTGAATAAAAAAGAGAAAAATGATACAATGTGTGTTTCTATTGATCTCTACATATACATGAAAGCATCTTTGTTGTACTATTCCTTATCACTAACCATTAGTGTGAAGGTATCAGGGGAGAGGACAGTCCAGACTTGTTTGCTAAATGAGTCCACAGAGATGAAAGGCAAAATAAGTTCAATTGAACCGGTCTTTCTGTTCTTTAAGTATGTCCAGACATGCTGGAGCTGGCTCTAATTATTCACAATTATTCTAATTATTATTATTTCTGTTATGTTTTGTAGCATAAACTGCTTGGTAGAACATTTAAATTACTTGTTTCCATTCAATTTTCATGGATTTATCCTGAATTTGTATTTAGCTTAAAGTCTAACTTAGCAGTCCAACTGCTGTTTATGTCATTTGGCCATTCATTTACAATACCCAAGGGTGAACTATTGTATACGCAACATGTTTCTTTTTTGGACTTAACAAGCCACCAGGGACCAAATAATTGTGCATTCTCATAGAAATATCTAACTGTCCTCTTAACGTAACACCTGACTTTAATACAGTACATCAAACTCATTAACCCCATACCAGCATAATTCAGCATGTACTTAAAAAGCAGCAAGATACGTTCAGTCTAGCATATTGTTTCAAATAATAATCTCAACTGCTATAAGAAAAGTGTGCTTTATGCCTTCGATTATTTAAAAAATGATTAAAAATGTAAGATGATGCAGTCAAATCTTGTCCCCACAAAACCACACATAATTCCATCTAGCTGACACACCTGCACAAACAGTCTCCCATATTCTGTGTTGGGCGGGGTTGAGAAGACTTGAGAGTGGAAAACCATGTTGAAATGAACCCAGTGTGCACCTGTTGAGCAGACTGTCAGCTGCAATACTGGTGTCATCTCAAGATCGTCACTCAGTGAGTACCTTCATTACATTTTTACTGTATAATCTTAAGTCCTAGTTAATAGTTTATTGTTTTAGTCTATTTCTGTTTGTATGTCTTTTTGACTTGTATGTATGTATGTCTTTGTACATTTTTTAGAGTAGAGCTTGTGAATTTAAACAGGAATAGACTCTTATTTTAGTATCAGATCATTGTGCATTAACATTCGATTTTGTATTTGTACATTGTAAAAAGTGGTGACATCAAGATTTATTGAGGATCTATTTTTACTTGCTGCAACACCCTAAAATCATGTCATTTTAGGTAACCTATGTAACTTATTTACTATGGTTCATTCACTTAAATATGTGACAGGCTAAATAATTTTTTTTTGCGTCAAATCTGTCAAATGTGTGCTCAGTTCATCCTTTGACAATATTCTTCTAAGTGGCATAATACCAAAACAAATAAGCTATTCAAATCGAAGGAAACCCAATGTAGGGATTTCTATCCATAACAGACACTGATATGCCATGGAATCATCCCAGCACATGACTCCAATATTCGGGGGCGATTTCCTGTCAGTCTTGTCTCATCTACTCATGAGATCTAAACTAATTCAATCAGGAGACAACAAAGCTTTCTTTGTATCAGAACTGGAAAGTTCGTTCACAACATATAGAAACCACGATGTCTTGTGACCACCAATGAATGTAACTATTATATCTAAACAGGAAAAGGACAGTAATTTAATCACGCCCTCGGGCCTGCAAGCACGGGATATACAGCGTGACGCCACATGACCCATTGAATATCTGCTTCCTGCCCTTTCTGAAACCCTCACGTTTCTTTTGTCACAGACAAAGAAACAGAACGTACACAGACAATTCTGACATTAACGTCTTGCTGGCCGAGTAGCTGATAGAGTGTAAACTATCAAATTTGAAATCAGTTTTAATCAGGTGGACCTCGAATTTTCAGATTCGATTCCTCTCAAAACCTGAATGAATTAATAATCATTAATTCCCTAAAATTAAGTAATCAAAGACATTACACCAATCATCAGTTAAATTGTACATATTTGCTTTGTCATACAGCTATGCTAGGTCAGAAATAAAGCCTGTTTTTTGTTCCAGGGAGAGTGATCTCACACAGGCGGTATCCTATAACACTCATCCCAAATCCTCACAGGGAGATGTAGGGAATGATAGGCAGTGTCTGAGAGTCAGTTGGCATTCCTACAAAAACCATAGTGACACTGGAACATAAGATGCATAAGGTTCTGGTTTTTGCAGTAGAAATCGCCATTTAATGTAATATTCCTGGTGATTTTATCTTATGTGATTTGTTTTATTGCTATTCAAATATCATGCCTATACATATTTGACATGATGATTTGAGTAGGCTGTCTACAGTTTCATTTTTACTCTTGCATATTTAAATAATGCAAAGTTTTTGTACTATATGCAAACATTGATGCAAGTGAACAGAACTGTTTTGCGTGTCATGGATATGTCTGTATTGTCTGCATGGGATTTACCTTTGTCAGATGATGCCATTACAGATAATAAAGCAGCCACTAGATACAGCTTTTGATTATTTTAATGTCTGTGTGCGTTCATTGCAATGTGTTGAATTCATCTTCTAAATCCACACTGAATGTCCATAGGGCCTTGATCTGGAGAAAGAGAACAGGGAACAGTAAAATGGGATTATATAGAGAGGTTCTAATCCTCTCTTTTCTAGTCCAGTGGGCTACAGGTAACTGGTTTAATAATATTAAATTTTTTTATTTAATCATTTCGGACCTTAAATAGAAGTGACAAAGTTTTGTGAAGCTTCTTGGAGTACAATGAACAAAAATGTCACTAATTTCAGCATAAATGTGCTGTGTTGTTATTTGTTATTACTTACAGTATTGTCCCAGGGTATGAAGGAGATGCCCGTCAACCAGTCAACAATAGGATTTCCAAGACTACCTGCAGACTTCAGGGAACTGGCCAAGAAACTGGTAACTTAGTACCACGCAATCCTTACATCTCATACTGAAAATACAGTCATGTGCCAGGATAAATGGGTTGTTTCTTTAACTATAGGGACTATTTCTGAATCGTAATTTTTCTGAACCAACAATGTAATTTCCATAACATTACGTGGAAATGTCACCAACAAAATTACCGAACTCTTGTCCTGCTGAGGCTAATTTCATAGATTAATTTCATATTAAGTATCTTAAACGGAGACAAATAATATTTTGACACTTTTTACACAATTTGTTAAATTACAGCTTAATTAGAAAAACTCACAGTGAAATAATCAGTTTATAAATGATATTTACTATGATTTTTCTTGGTTTCCTTCACACATCCCATGACTTATCACATTAATTTTAATTTCAATCATGCTCTTAACTCTTGTTTTGAAGAAAAAACATAAAAACATAAAAATTTATATAAATAATTTTCACACAATAAATATTGAAATTCTTTGTTTTTCACTCTTTTTTGATTATCTAAATACAAAAAATTAATTATTTATATTTTTAATAAGGATTTTGCTGGGTCTGCAAGGGTAACAAGGGTAAAACAACATTCACATGAAAGGCATTTGAAAAAAGATATGCAAAAATGTAGTAAAAACAGACTTTTTTGGTCCAACCTTAATATAAAAAAGAAAGAAAAAAAGCCATAAAGTAATAAAATCAGTTTCTGGGTCATAAAAGTGAAGAAACGCCCAAGTATGATATGCAAGATGAAACTATCATTAGAATATGAATTCATTCCTAACTAATAGATTTTAGCATTGCCCACCAGTCATTAACCAACCATTCATTTATGTGCATGTGTGTAAGTCTTATTCAGAACAAATTGCACTTTCGGCTTTACATTGTTTTGCAATTTAATATTTACATTTCCTTTGTTTTCTGACAGATGAGCACATGCTTCATGAAAGGTAAAATTCCTACAGCCACATTTGTCATTATCTGTTAGCTTGGACACATTTGGCCTTACAAAATCATGGAATCAAAATGACTTATGTGTTGCACCTGTGTTTAGTGTAATAAATTAAGGGAGCTACACTGCATAAACCATAAGCAAATACAAATGCCCATGGAAACAGTGTAGGATATATTTGCATATTGCATCCGGGGGGGAAAAATCATTCCATTCCAGCGCTGCCACACCCTGAACAAAATGTATTACTAATCATAATCTACCGTATCTATAAATGCAATAAATTTTGAAGTCAGATAACAATTATTCTATAGTTTCTACCATTATTCAGAACCAGAAAATGTTTGTTCCTTTTGTTTCCAGTCATAAAGAGAGAGTGTTTGAATTTTTCAGTCATGCATTGTCTTTTGTTAAATGAAGTGGTTGCATTGTTTCAGGTCACCACGTGCCTGTAATGAACAATTCACTGAACAGGTAGACTGCCATTGAGCTAATGTTATGGAGAAACTATATGCCAGGTGTATATTTGAATACTAAGGATCACATTTCATTGCATGGAAAACTACTTCACTTTCTTTATTTATCTCTCAGCTCATATGGAAAGATGATGGAGAGCCCCATCTCTATTTTTCCAGAGCTTCTCTCCTCACTCGCTCAGTCTTTCCCCTCTCACTCCAACCTGCAGTTCAATGAAACGGCAGAAGGGCAGGACTCAGCCTGGGTAACTCTCAATATCCCAAATGCACGCATATGGTTACCTATAGCTATCTAACTCTGGGCTTCCACTTGACTTCTATTGTTGTTAAAGTAAGACAATTATAGTTTCTACACACTAACTCTAACCCAAAGCCGAACACCAATCCAACAGTACAACTTTTTAAAACTTTTAAAATGAATAAATTAGTGCTGTCAAACGATTAATCGCATCCAAAATAAAAGTTTTTGTTTACATAATATATATGTGTGTACTGTGCATATTTATTATGTATATTTAAATACACACACATTCAGTATATATTTTGAAAATATTTACATGTATATATTTATATTCATATAATTTATGTTATATATAAATATATTTAATATATAAACATAGCATATTTTTCTTAAATATATGGATGCATGTGTGTGTATTTATATATACATAATAAATATACACAGCACATATATTATGTGAACAAAAACTTTTATTTTGGATGCGATTAATCGTGATTAATCGTTTGACAGCACTAGAATAAATACATTGTTATGCTCAGGATTCTTTCAGATTTAGTTAAATGCTTGGGATATTTTTTGGCAAATACATGTGCTTACACACAGATACACAGGAGAGACACCCATATATCTGTATTTTGTCTTTATTTTATGTTCATCTTGATGGGAAATCTACAATAAATTCAGAACATTGCTGAGAAGATGCGGAACTGCACCAACATGGGCCATATGATTGATCTCATGAGGAATAGTACAGTTAGTGCAGGACTACCAGAAAAATATATATAATAAAATAATATAATATAATATAAAAATGACAAAATGACATTAACACACCTTTTTCCATTCTCTCTCCCTTTTTCACATTTGCACACACTCAGGAAGGCCCTCGTTGTTTCATGCGGGCATTCATGGCTCCTCTTTCCTGGATGACGATCATGCAGAATGGAACAGACCTCAACAAAGAAGATCTAACAAAGCTTTTATGGGTGGCTAAACCCTTCTTAGAAACAATGCCTCCATCTAGCTTTGTGCTGCCGGTGTTTTCACAAAGCTCTCAACTGGCTAAAATGTGAGTGTATTCAGAATCAGAATCAGAATGAGCTTTATTCGCCAAGTTTCCAAGAAGGAATTTGTAGTGGGTTTTTTTTATGAGCTCTTGGTACAAACATGCATACATACATATATGACATTGAGAACAGAAAGAACATTTAAATAAGACTAAGGAAAAAAAAAATAATAATAATAATAATGTAATGTGGTATACATCTGGAACAGAAGATTTATGTACAGATTTGTGCATTATTTACTGTATATACAGCTGTATAAATAAAAATATATATGTATTTACAAAAACCTTGAGAGAGAGGCAATAATTAGTTATTAAGAAATGAATTACAGAAGACTGGTGGTAATTGGCTGTTTAATCTGGAGATGGCATGGGGGGAAACTGTTTTTATACCTAGATGTTCTAGTGCACAGAGATCTGTAACGTCAGTGGGTCTGTGATAATGTTACCTGCCTGTTTCTTCACTCTGGAGTTGTACAAGTCCTGAAGGTTGGGCAGGTGCACACCAATTAATCTTATATCTGATTTGCTGGCTGACTCAAACCAGACAGTTATAGAAGTGCACAGAACCAACTCAATAACAGCTGAGTAAAACTGTGTCATATGCGCCTGTGGAATGTTGAACTTTTTCAGTTGACGAAGGAAGTACAACCTCTGCTGGGCCTTTTTCACAATTAAGTCAATGTGATTGTCTCACTTCAGGTCCTGTGAGATGGTGGTGCCCAGGAATCTGAATGACTCCACTGCAGCCACAGTGCTGTTCATGATGGCGAGAGGGGGGAGTGCAGGGGGGGTTTCTCCTGAAGTCCAGAATCATCTCCAGAATTTTGAGCGTGTCCAGCTCCAGGTTGTTGTGACTGCACCAGACAGCCAGCGCCTCAACCTCTTGTCTGTAAGCAGACTCGTCGCCATCCAGGATGAGGCCGATGACTGTGGTGTCATCTGCAAACTTCAGGAGTTTGACAGAGGGGTCTTTAGAGGTGCAGTCATTTGTGTAGAGCAGGGGTGTCAAACTCAATTCCTGGAGGGCCGGAGCTCTGCAGAGTTTTGTTCCAACACTCTTCCAACACACATTCCATGTAGCTTTCAAATAAGCCTGAAGGACTTGATTAGTTGGATCAGGTGTGTTTAGTTAGGGTTGAATCTAAACTCTACAGGGCTCCGGCTCTCCAGGAATTGAGTTTGACACCCCTGTTGTAGAGGGAGAAGAGCAGTGGGGAGAGCACACGTGCCTGAGGAGCTCCAGTGCTGATGGTGTGGGTGTTGGATGTGAGTTTTCCCAGCCTCACTAGCTGCTGCCTGTCTGTCAGGAAGCTGATGATCCTGGACAGCACAGGCTTTGAGGCAGGAGAGACAACGTTTGGGCCTTTGGCTTTCCTTATTTTCTGTTTCCTGAAGACTTTGCGTGCATCATCTTCACAGATCTTAAGTGCAGGCTGAGAAGCAATAGCGGTAGGGAGGGGGAGGGTGTAGATTGCTGTGTTGTGAGACGGTCAGAGTGGGTGTGGGGTGTGAGACTAGGTTTTTCAAACCTGCAGTAAAACTCATTCAAACCGTCGGCCAAAAGTTGATTCTCCACAGTGCTGGGGTATGGGGTCTTGTAGCTGGTGATGGCTTTCAGGCCTTTCCACACTGATGTAGAGTCATCATCTTCACAGATCTTAAGTGCAGGCTGAGAAGCAGTAGAGGGGAGGGAGGGGAGGGTGTTGATGGCTGTGTTGTGAGACGGTCAGAGTGGGTGTGGGGTGTGAGACTAGGTTTTTCAAACCTGCAGTAAAACTCATTCAAACCGTCGGCCAAAAGTTGATTCTCCACAGTGCTGGGGTATGGGGTCTTGTAGCTGGTGATGGCTTTCAGGCCCTTCCACACTAATGTAGGCTCGTTGCTTGAAAACTGGTTTTTCAGCTTTTCAGAGTAGTTTCTCTTAGCTACTCTTATCTGTTTGAGTTTTGCACTGAATAAAGAAAAATATAACTGCACACTCACTTAAGCATCGTTTATTAGTTGCCAACGTTTCGGCAAAACAAGTTGCCTTTCCTTGACAAAGGCTACTTGTTTTGCCGAAACATTGGTAACAAATAAACGATGCTTAAGTGAGTGTGCAGTTATATTTTTTCTTTATTTAGCCTGCCCCTTTAACTTGCACCTCTAAAAGGTGCGTGTTTGTTTTTTTACTTTATTGAGTTTTGCACTGAACCAAGGTTTGTCGTTGTTAAATGTTAAATAAGTCCTGGTTGAAACACACATGCCCTCACAGAAACTGATGTAGGATGTCACAGTGTCACGGTGTCAGTGAGTTCAAGTTGATCGGAAAAAAAGTTACTTAAAATAGGACAAACAAAAATAGTAAAAGCAGTTACCAAGCAGCTACAAACCGAGGCAGCCATGCGCGGCGCCATCTTCTTTCATATTCCGTTTTATTAAACTCAAATGACTAAACATATGGAGTATTTTTACCTTAGTCCTCAATTTTGAAGTAAAATTTTGTTTCCTTAGTTGTGTCTGTTGTCTCTTCTCCCTCATTATGCTGAAGGATGAAGGTGTTTGGTGAGGTGTTCAGCGTTCTGTCTGAGGAACAGAGGAATGCGATTATAGGGTGGGTCAAAGAGAGAGTTGCACAAAATGAATTTAAATGCGTTCTGAAAGCACCTGCCTTCAGCATCCTGCCTTCTGGATCACTAGAAAACCCTATCATCCGTAAGTTTTGAGTGATCTGTAAGCTTTTATAATCAAAACTGACCTGAACATAACATAACATGACATGACATGACATGACATATAACATAAACAAGTAAAGCAGAAATATTTAGAATTTTTTCAATTAGGCATTTAAAATATGTGTTTTTGTTCATTTTAAATGTATGGTTTATATAAGATACAAATAATCTATTGACAAATACTCTTGACTAATCTAGAAAATGGCCCATCAGTCAAGGCAATGATGAACGTGATTGTACCAGGAGCTGAAAGGACTCAACATTCAACGATTAATGGTAAATCGGAAGGAAGTGGTTGGAAGACCTGAAAAACAGTGAAATGATCCATTTGAGAACTGAAATGGAATGGCGAAGTGTTGAAGAGGGTAGAGAGAAAACATTAGGAAAGAAAAGATAACAAATGCAAATGTGGTGGTCCAGAAGATAAATAGTACAGAAATACAAAGAGAGGACAATTATTTATTATATTAATAGTATATATACATAAGTTATTATAATTATTTTTTATGTTTTTTTTTGTTTGTTTGTTTGTACACTTTTTAAAAAACATTTTAGTATAGTAGTCTTTCAGTGCTTTGTCAAACATTCAAAGTTCGTCTGTCTGAAACAGCAGTCCCTATATGTCCTCCCAGAATGCTCTGGCTGAAGGCTAACGTGTTGACAATGATGGGGCCTTTCCTATCTCGGCTGTCTTTAGAGGAAGCAAAGACCATCCCTAAAGAAGAGGTCAGTAACTGTGACATGATATTCAAACCAATGACATAATTCATACTGTATGTGTTTTGTTCCATTGCCTTTGTGTCTCAGAGCATACCATACATAATAACTAAATCCAAAACCACCTAAATCCAATGACTATTGTAATCTTTCTTTTTCTCAGCTATGTGAGTTTTTCAGGACTCCAAATTTCGCTCCATCATTTCAATATGTTAGTGGAATGCAGCCCGCCCTTGGCCGAACACTTTTTCAACGCTTGAAACAAGAGTGTTCCAGCAGCGACAATTTCACTCACTATATGGACAGGTTAGGATTTGCATCATCATTGTGTATTTAGTGCATGTTCTTGGTAAATGATATTCAGGTTAACAGCAGCAATACACTGATTCCTCTGGAAGCCTGTTGCCACTTTGTAATAAAATATAAACAAGTAAATGTATGATTAAAAATTATACATTAAGTCATATTGTGAGACAAATTTACACCGTGAGAAAGTTGCAATTACAAGAAATTAAGTCACAATTATGAGATTTAAACTGGCATTACAATTAAGAAAGTCACATTGTGTGATGTAAAGTCACAGTTTTGAGATATAATGTCACATTGTGAAGTTTAAGTCGCAATTATAAGAGTAACTTATAAGACTAACAATTGCACAAAAATAGTCACAGACAAAGTTACATTTGTGAGAAACAATGTCAAAATTGTGAAACAAAGTCCTACTGTGAAGTGTAAAGTCGCAATTAGTAGAAAAAAAGTTGAAGTTACAAAGTCATATTTGTGAGATATAAAATCAAAATATGAAAGTCTCAGTATGTTTTCAGGTTTTTTGCTCTGATTCGGAAACAGGCATTTACGGATGCCCCTTTCACTCTACATCTGAGAACAACTTCAAAACATATACATTCCTGTTTCATCAATTACTTCCTGTTTTCACAGGCTGGGCTCTCTGGCTTGTTTCACTGGTGGCGCACCGTCACTAAATCTGAATCTTAGCAGAAAACTGCTGTCTCAGATTGATACCTGTAACAACCCTGAAATAGACAAGGTTGGAACTGACACTTTATTGAATCGTTGTTGCTCCCAAATTTGCGTAGCCTAACTGTAATGTTATTTTAATTCCACTCAACCCTCCCTCAGGTGAAAAGACAGCTAGTACAGAACATTCTGGAGAAAGATGACAGTTCTTCCTCTCCTGAGATTCTGCTGTCTCTGGGCTCCGCCGTGTCTGTCCTTCCTCTTTCCAGGCTGTCCCGCTTCACCTCTGAGGACCTGAACAACACCCTCACCAGCTTGAGTCAGGCCAATTGCAGCCCAGCTCAAGCTAAGACTGGCTAAGAAACTGTTGGAAGCTGCTAAGGTTATATTTTCTGCTCAGTTTATAGAGCTGAGTTTTGTTTCTTCTTTATTGTTTTCACAAGAATGTTTTCTTTTGTAGAATATAAGTGGTGAGAAGTTGTTGTCTCTGGGTATGATGGTGAGAGGGGTAGCCAGTTCCCTCCTCAAGAATGTGAAGGCAGAAGGGCTGCTGGGCAATGAAGCCCTGAAAACTATGAGTGAGAAGATGTCCTCCCTACAAAGAACAGCACTACTGAAAGCGGTAAGATTAAGAATATCATGAGTTCATCAGAAAGAGACGGAAAAGCTTCCACAAATAAGAAGAATAAAAAAACTGTGAGTGACCAAACTATCAGTGAAATCCCTTCTGCCTCCTCCTTGATTCTGCTCTCTCTCTCTCTCTCTCTTGGTTTTATTAAATCAGTTCCGTCGTGATGTAAATGCGTCTGAACTGGTGAAGCGGTTGCCGGTTTCTCTCCTCTCTTCTCTGTCTCTGTCCACGCTGGAGAAAGCAGACCTCAGCTCTGTGGATCAGCTGCAGGGACACGGCTGGACTCGTGCTCAAGTATACACACTAGATAGTAAAATAAAAATCCAAATCCATTACCACTCCATCCATTTTTGTCTAATTTCCTTATTTCTCTCTGTAGTCAGCTTTTCTTCTGAAGAAGATTTTGGGTAATAGGATCAACCTTAGCGAATTACGGTGAGACTCTATATGACTGCAACATACAGCTATGCAATACTTTGTGTAGACCTTGAAGAATCTTTTTTTTAATAAGAGAGATAAGAGAAAAAAATTAAAACAAATAAAAAATAACTAAATGAGAATTAAACTGTACTAAAAAAAAATTTAATAAAAAAAAGTGAGCAGAATTGCATCTTAATAAAAATAAATGTTGTCTGCATGAATTTTGAAATTGGAGCAGATTTTAAAACACTAGGCATCATACACTTGCCAACTTTGTAAATAGTTAAAAACTGGGCATCATACACTAACGACTGAGGATCACACACTACTAGACTTTCAAGTCATTCCGACCACAACAGACTTGTGCAGAAATGTGCTCCTTGCGGTAGGAGATGCGTGACAAATTAAAACAAACTAAAATGTTCTAAAATTGGATTAAAGTATGAAAAATATTTGATAGCCTCTGACTATATCACAGTCTGAAACTTAAAAATTGGAGTCTGTACTCATCATACACTATGCGATTTGACTGCTTAGATTCTGCAGACTGGCTTTGACTTTCAACAGCTAGTGTTGAGTTGTCCAGAATGTAAATTGGGGCAAAAATCTGTGCACAAGTTATGTAATGTACTGCAGCCTTAAGATGCAGTATCCTGATCAAGCTCATGGTGTTGTCAACAGGAAGCTGGGTCAGGCTGTACAGGGTGTCACTTGTGAAATGATTGAAAAAATCAATTGAACTGATGCTTTGGAAATGGCACAGACACTTAACAAATCCTGCGCATGGCTCTCCAGGGTTCAGGTAAACATCACATATTCACTCTTTTTTTCCACACACATTCTTTCATCAACTCTACCACTTTTCCATGATCAAATCTACAACCCCACCCCCTTTTCCATTCTTAGATTATCTGTACAGCTCAAAAAGTCTTTGCAAGTCTGGAGGAACAGAGACCAGGATATTTCAGTAACATTAACAACTCTGAGCTTCATGCCATCCCAGCTATGCTGCTTATCCATCTACTGTTTATGCATAATTAACATACATTTAAAATTTGGTCCCGCTTTATATTAAGTGGCCTTAACTACTATGTACTTACATTTTAATTAATCATTTGGTACAATGCAGTTATTGTGTACATACATGTTTTTACATTGTACTTATATTTTAAAAATACCTGCATGTAATTACATCTGTAATTAATTTCTGTAATTACATTTATAATTACACTGTTGACCCATCCCTTACACCTTAACCCACCCTTAATCCTACCCATACCACCAAACCTGTCTCTAACCGTACCCATATCCCACCTCAATAGCAGCAAAAGTGTTTTGCACTACAATATGAACACAATAAGTACATTGTACTTATTTTTTGATGTAAGTACATAGTAGTTAAGGCCACTTAATATCAAGTGGGACCTAAGATTTAAATGCGTTCAAATTGAATTTAGCTTAAGTTTAAATCATATGCTAAGACAGGTGAAATATTATTTTTCTTTACTTGTCCCATCTCACATCATCCATACTGTCATGACACATTCAGAGTAGAGAAGATTCAAAACCTGTCAGATTCTGTGTGTCCTGCTTTCATGGAGAAGATGAAGCAAGTCAGCCTGTCCTCTCTGCCAAACAGCTCTCCAGCGCGCTACGCACTTACCAAAAGAGCCATTGGCTGCCTGGTAATATGTGCACACACATGCACAGGCTTGTCCTGTCCAAAAAAAAACACACACATCTAAAGCTAACGTGTTGCTGTTTGCAACCCATTTCAGTTCTGTGGAATGTGCAATGGCAATTCTGAGTAAAAGAGAATATTTAACAAAAAAAAATAAAAAATGCAGAGTGAGACTTATCCCTCATAAATTGATTGGATGGTGTGCATTACATACCAGAATGCATTCAGACTTAATGGGCATCACAATACAATTTTGTTCTGTTGACTTACATTCATACTAATGCAACTGCAGGAGACAGGAGACAAGCTTATGCAAATTTGCTGCTCCCCAAATCGATATGTCACAGCGTGACCTCTTAGCTAATCTGCAGGATTGCAGCGTTGCAGTAAAGTGGAGTAGATTGAATATTTTTACATTTTGCATGTATCATATTCAATTCAATTAAGTTTATTTGTACAGCGCTTTTCACGATACAAATCATTGCAAAGCAACTTTACAGCGAATTAAGTTTCTACAATATTTAGTGGTAGCTTATCAGTGGTGACTGTCAGTTAATGTACGTATGGCAGAAATGTACAGAAAAATCAATTAAAGACGTAATCAAACAGACGATGAACATTATTAACAGCAATTATTATATGATGCAATCAAACGTATAGCAAAATGTGGTAGTTCTGTATGTTGTTTCAGGGTTGGCATCATCTGAGGTCCTCTGAGGGGTTGGCATCATCTCTTCTCATATGTTGGAATATGTTTTTAAAAAGACATTGCAGAATGCAACTTCATATTACGACCATTGCAGTGCATTGTGGGAACAGACCCTTTTCAACTTTTAAAAAACACACCTGTAGACCTTGTTTTTTTGTTTTTTTTTCTACTACCCTGCATTTCATGATTTTTGCATTTCACTGCTCTGTTTTCTCATTGACTTTCTATGTAAACATGCACTAGTTGGAAGTGTTTGACCTTTGTGCGTGGGATCGCATCTTTTGCAGCAGCTATTGCAGTGTCTCATGTATGACCGAAAGTTCTAAAAACACAGTGCTCCACTTAAAAGTTCAACTTTTAAAAAACATGTCTCTAGACCTTGTGGGTTTTTTTTTTTTTATTCCACTGCCCTAAGTCTCACATTTTTGCTTTTAGAAAAGCACACGTTTTTAGAAGTGTAACTTTTTTAAACTTGACACAGGTATTTATAAATGCATCGCTCACACACAAGATGCTGCAAAATCAATCATGTCCATCTAGCGAATGTTTACATAAACAATAGAAAAGCAGCACAGCAGAATACAAAATGGCTGATGCTTAACATTACTAGTAGACAATGCAGACCATGTGACATCAGCGGAAATGGAAAAGGATTCTCCTGTTGGGAACTACTGCAGGCACTGTCCTGTCCTGACCTGTATCCTGTATCTGTGCAGAAGGGGAACATGTCTGATCTGTCTGCGGCAGAGGTTTTGACTCTAGGCCCTCTGGTGTGTGAGTTAGACCCAGCCTGGATTTCCTCTCTGAACCCTGCGGCTCTGAACTCCACCTTGCAGGCTCTCGTATCCTGTCAGTATATCCAGCAACAGTACAGAGAATATCTTTTCAGGCTGCTTACGACCACCTACGGGTAACAGCATGTTCAAAATCACACATAACCTACAATGGGTTCACACAGCCTACAGTCTTACACATAACCTCTGCAAACCTCAGATCCCACATCAGTGCTTTTCTAGTTGTGTCATTGTTAAAGGGACTGTGCCTGCTGTGGCTTCAAAACAAGAGCATTTTAAACATTTGAAAAATTCTTCATATTAAATAGCCTTCTACTTCCAGCCTTGAGTCACACAGCAGTAAAACCTCTGCTTGAATTAGACATTTTGCATTGCTGTTAATGATGCATTTGTCTTTTCTTTGAACAAGGGACCCTGCTTACTGGTCAGAGGAAGACATGAGGGTGCTTGGGCCACTTTTGTTACTTAATGACACTGCTGTTGAAAAGCTGCCGGCCAAAGTAAGAATCTCAGCAATGACCAGTATTATGGAAAAGTAGGATTAAATTGTTAAGTGTACATATATGTAAAATGAATTTAATGAAAAATTAAACAACTAATAATAAATGATTATTATAATTATTACATTTGTATTAATATGTAATTACTCTATAATTATAATTTTGTAATAATTCTAATGTAATCACATTATAATAATTATTATAAATATTAGTATTAAGTGTAACATTTAAATATTTTTATAGTTATTTATTTTTTTACTTATAAATAAATAAATAATTGTTTCCTTCATTTTATTTTAAAGGGGTCATATGATGCGATTCCACTGATGATTCAAACGCGAGTTTTGAGCAGTGTAGAGTAGCACTTGTAGTTTGTCATTTCTCCGATCACAAATGCAGGCATGGTTTTATGTTGCATTTGTGCAATTTTATTTTTGGAAATGGTAATATTTCACAATATTACTGCTTTTACTGTATTTTTGATCAAATAAATTCAGCCTTGGTAAGCATTAGACATCTTTCACAAACATTTAAATATCTTACCAACCCCAAACATTTGAATGATTTAATTTTTCTATTATTTATTTTTTGGTTTTAGCATAAATATGCAAAATATACAAAAAAACAAATATAAAAACTGAAAGTGATGAATTCTGCAGAGGACAGCAGTCTGGCAGGCCTTTGAAAGGGTGGCTGGAATCAGTGTGACTGGACTAGGACAGCTGGAAATGGTGGGACTAGGACAGTTTATCTGTGGTGTACAACCTGGCCAGATTGATCAGCTCAATTCCCCAAGCTTCAGGTTAGACATACTTCCACATTTGTGGTTATATTTTCATTTACAAGTATGCTTATGTACACTACAGCACAACAAAACCACTGTTAAGCAAATGCTGTATACAGACCTGGTCATTGTGATTGTCTGATATGTGTGTTTCCCAGGTAGGCAGTAGAGGTGGTGGGTCGTGCTCCTTGTCCTCTGAACTTTAGAGAGCGTCTGAAGGAAAAGGCAGTGGCTGCGTTTGGAAAACCAGAAACCTGGACTGAAGCTCAAGTTAGCATTATGGGCAACATCATTGGTGAGATACAAAGGACACTAAGTGATATACTGTTGAATATTTACATGTGACTAGTTCAAGCTTAAAATGTGAGAGCTGCCTTTATCATTTAATGTCTCTCTAGCTGGTTTAAGTGCTGTTGAGCTGGGAAGTCTAAATTCAAGCGTCCTGCCATTCATTCAGCCGTCCGCCATCCCTCTCATACCTTCAGAACGCTTAGCTGTAAGTTTACTCTCTCGTTTGCAAACTTTAAAGTTTTTATTTCTTGCCGTTATTGTGTTTGACCAGTTCTTAAAGGGATACTTCATCCAAAAAAGAAAATTCTCTCATCAATATCTTCATCATGCCATCCCAGATGTATATAACTTACTTTCTTCTGTGGAACACAAAGAAAGGTCAATGGATCCAAATAATCCATCTCTGTGAATCCATATAATTCAACTGGAAAAAAGGATAGAACATGACCGTCATCCATAAGATCCCAATTAATGAATCTGAATTAGATTCAGATGAATTAGTGTCTTCTGAAGTGAAACAGTAGTTGTGTGAGAAAGAAAAAAAAAAGTTGTGAAACTTGCGTGAGAAATGATGTGGAAGCACACGCGTTTAAAATATTAGTATTTTTCTCACACACACCTATTGTTTCATTTAAAAAGACATTGATTCATCAGCTGGGGTCATAGGAATTAACGTTGGGTTCGCTTTGTGTGGTTTTTGAAGCGTCAACTTTGGAGGTCCCGTACACTTGCATTACATGAACTCACAGAGATGTATTTTTATTCATCTCAGTTTGTGTTCATCTGAAAAAAGAAAGTCATATATCTGGGATGGTATGAGGGTGAGTTAATGATGAGAGAATTTTCATTTTTAGGTGGAGTATACCTATAATTGAGTTGCTCTGTAAGTAAAGAAAATGTGACTCTTGTCATTTGTGTTCAGGCACTGTCAGTCAGCCAGTTGAAGGCTTTGGGCCCTGACAATGCTGCAACGGTAACAGAGGCTCAGCGTGCAGGGCTGAGGGTCGATCAAAGGGCCGCACTGGATGAAGCCGTGGGACTAAAAACTGCACGCACTGAAGTGCCCACTGGAAGCTCCAATCCAAGCTCTGGTGGATCAGTCCCACTGCCACTAAAAGGAGGTAAGTGACGGGAAAAGGGTCAGGAAACCTGTTTGGTGATAGTCGCCCACAAATTACTATTAAAGGGATAGTTCACCCAAAAATGATGTTCCAAACCTGTAAGACCTTCGTTCATCTTCGGAACACAAATTAAGATATTTTTGATGAAATGTGAGAGCTCTCAGACCCTGCATAGACAGCAACGCAACTGTAATGTTCCCAGGTCCAGAAACATAGTAAGGACATTGGTAAAACAGTCCATGTGACATCAGTGGCTCAACTTCAGTTTTGCAAAGCTACGAGAATACTTTTTGAGCGCAAAGAAAACAAAAATAACAATTTATTCAACAATTCTTCTCCCCCGAGTTACGTCTTCCGCCATTTTAGAGAGTACGGAAGACGTAACTCGGGGGAGAATAGTTAAATAAATTATTTTTGTTTTCTTTGCGCTCAAAAAGTATTCTCGTAGCTTCGCAAAACTGAAGCTGAGCCCCTGATGTCACATGAATTGTTTTACCGATGTCCTTACTACGTTTCTGGACCTGGCAACATTACAGTTGTCTATGCAGGGTCTGAGAGCTCTCACATTTAATCAAAAATATCTTTATTCGTGTTCCAAAGATGAACGAAGGACTTACGGGTTTGGAATGACATGAGGGTGAGTAATTAATAACAGAATTTTCATTTTGGGGTGAACTAACCCTTTAATAACCTCAATGTGATCTGGAATTTAAATTTTTTGGAAATTTCTACTAAATAACTATTACATTTGAAGGGATCTTTTAGTTGCATTATCGTAAAAAATAATTCTAAAACAAATTTACAAATATTTTTCTCTATGTACTACAGGTGCAGCAGTAGAGAGCATGGCAGGATGTGTCCTCCTCATGCAGGCCATTGCACTGCTGTTGTTTGGATACATTCTCTAAGGAGCAGAAGGGTCAAAGGCCACAGGATGCCATGCGTCAGATAGCAGATTCAGTTGCTGGTGTATGATCAACCAGCAAACCAGTAGATTTAAGAAATGTTATAATTGCTTTGTTTCAAAACTATATTTAATACTGTCACTGATTGCACATTTAAACTCAGAGATTAGACTGAAGTCAAAAATAGTTGAGATAGTGGTTTGATAAAATTTGGGTCTAGTCCATCTTTAAATAATTAAATGTATCTTAGCAAGAAACTATATTTGATAATACTGCTATTTAGTTATTTTCAAATGCAGATCTATTATTATTCTATGAGAGACATAAAACACTGTGTATACTTAAAATGTATCGAAGATATAGTTTTGTTATTAGTTATTTATTTTCAGTTAAATGTATTACTTAAAGGTTGTGTTTTAATTCAAATAATTTATACCAAACATAAGGGCTAATAAAGGTCTGTCTGTAAAGAGAGTAATTGTGAGATATGAATAGTCAAAGCAGAGACTTTCACACCCTCATGTGGTGTAACAGACTCACCGGTTAACTTCTGATGACCTTAAGTTCATGCCAACCTCATGTAATTTGTCTCACCTAATTTGTCTACTGTTTTCACATAAAGGGTAAGTTATGAAAATTATTCAAAATGGCTACTACACCTCATTTATCATTAAAGAGTTTAAGCTAAAATGGAAAAACATTTGGTCTCCCAAATGCCTTGCAAGTATCAAGATGCAATATACACTACAGTTCAAAAGTCACTAAGAAATTAATTTTATTCAACACATTAAATCGATCAAAAGTGACAGTAAAAACTTACATGCTTTAAGCATGCTTTACATTGCTTTAAGAACTTTTATTTACCAAAGAACCCTGAAAAATGCATCATGGTTTCCACTAAAATATTAAGCAGCACAATCATTTTCAACATTGATAATAAAAAGAAACGTTTCTTGAGCAGCAAATCAGCATGTTAGAATGATTTCTGAATGATCATGTGACAATGAAAACTGGAGTAATGATGCTAACATTTTAAAAAATATATTAAAATAGAAAGCAGTTATTTTAAATAGTAAAAAAACAAACAAAAAAAAAAAGCCTTGGTTTAATTTTTTTTTTTTTACATTTTATGGGACTGAAATAAAATTTATGGGGGGGGGGTTATATTGTTAATATTTTTATTATTGATAGGTTTGTCAAATGAGTACATACAGTACATTATAAGGCATACAGTAGTGATTTAGCTATTACAGTTTTTTTTATTTATCTCAACACAATCAATATGAAACAGCCCAAAAATAAATGCAGGAGGTTACAGTAAAACAAAGCTATATTAATTTTTAAAAAGAAAACCAGGAGACAAGATATGTAAGGCACCAATAAAACAATTCCAGCATAAACATAAAAATAATATTTTCAACTCTCCATCACACACACAACAGAGATTTCTCCCAGTCAGGAAACAAATAATCTGCAGCCTTTAACAGTAATCTTGACATAATGCATCTTGTACTAAATGAAGAAGGCACTTATTTTGTTCTCATTCTAAAGATCAGCAACTATTCAGCAACTTTCCTGATTTTAATGCCTCTGTGGAAACAAATAGAAGAAATACAAACATTAAACACAAAAATAATTCAAGCACAAAGGAGTCACCTGATTCAGGAGCATTTGGCTGTGCTAAACTGTTAGTAATTACAGTATTTTTATCAACAAGCAGCTGCATTTTGCATTAGAGAAAATGGACTGTACAGCTGTTTGTTTGCACAATGGAATCAGTAGGCACAGGAATTTAGCAGGGCTGGTAAACGTGTGTATGACACTCTGTATATGTTAAGAACATGATGCTCAGTGTCTCAAACTCTCAGATCAATTAAGAGCAAGTTGCAAACACTTTTTAGGTTGATCAAACCTAATCATTCCTCTATAGCATTATTTGTCTCATCTACTGTGATTTTACAAAACTAGTCTAGCAGAGTTATGTTTTTACATACATGTTTTGCCCTGATGAAGTGTATTTCTCTAGTTTTTAGGTGAGAACGTGGAGTGTTAAAAGCTTGTGACAAACCCAAATATTTATAATCTGCAGACTTTGAATTACATACACACTTTATGCTGAATGTCACAAAAAAACACCCCAAAAATCCAAGAAAAAAAAATCCAAGATATTATATTTTGCATTACAAAATTGAAATCTACTTTAATTCAATTAAATATAACAATTAAGTACATTTTCTCACCAAAACTGTCTTTATCTTAATCTTGGCATTTTACTTTTGAGATTTTCTGCAATTAGATATTCATTACTGTAATACAGTAATTTGTTATTGCGTTATTGGTCTGTTATTTGTTATTGTGATGCTTTAATCTTATTATTTAAATCAGCATAAAGGGCTATAAATTATAGAAATAAATGTTAAAAATGTATCAATTAAATAATTTTTTTAGCATTACAATTATGAGAATTGGTGTGCTTAATTACAAATGAAATGCCACAAAATACAATAAATATCACAAAAAATCTTAAAGGTCCTAAAATTATGCTTCATTTTCTTTAAGGAAAACAATTTCTTATTCTTGATGTTGATTTTGGGGCGACATGTTCTTGACAGGTTTCATGTTTTTCACCCTTTCCTGTCTCTCTAAGCTGGTTTGTCTGTTTTGTATGCGCTGATAAAGGCCATGCCGTGAGTTCTGAAGTGTGTATTAAGATCAGCAGGTTTGCTAAAGTAACGTCCACACACCTTACAGGTGTGCTTACCTTCCCCATCCTCCACCTGTGTCCCCCCTAAACTCGAGGGTGACCCTGGGGACCCTGCTGCAACTGCAGAGTCAGAGGTCACAGAATTTGAACCAGTGACAGGAGACGCCTCAGCATGCTCGGAGGGGGAATCCCGCACGCGATGGCTGATGAAGAGATGCCTGCTGAGGGAGGAGGAGGACGCAAAACACGCCCCACACTGCTGACACTGAAAGCTGCTGGCCCCGTCACGGTGACAAACAATATGCTGGAGAAACTCCTCCCTGTCCTCTGTTGTAAAACCACATGGCATACAGTGGAATCCTGTGGCTTCCTGCTCCTCAGCTGCAGCTCCTCTGCCAGGTCTGGTCAGGCTACTCTCAGCCAATCGGCTTTCTGCTTCAACTGAGGCCCCGCCTCCCAAAGTGCCAGGACCACCATCATGCTCAGATGAGCTGTCAGCTGCATCTGTGATACGAGGAACTGCCTGAAAGTGAGAAAGAGCGAGTAAAAGTGACTTAATGCGCCAAAACTACAGAAAGTCGTTAACTTTCAATGAGCTTTACTGTGGGTAAAGTGTCCAGTTACTTGATAAAGTTGTAAAAAGTTGAATTTGTTTCATAATTGATGGATTTTGAAACATCAACACTAAATTGAATCAATTTGTATTGTATAAAGCACTATATTGTATGTGTGTGTGTGTATATATATATAAAATTAGGTATGATTAGATTTTCAAAGGCCATAGCCAGTTGCAAATGTTACAGTGACCTCAAGCAACAAAAATCACTGTTAGGTGATCATGGCTTTGGACATGTTTTGTCCATCTGAAAGTGTTGTTGTGCTCTTACCTCCTTGGCTGCTCCTCCTCCATGCTGAGCCTGAATATGTTTCTCAAGAATCAGTTTACTGCTGAAGCTCCTCTTCCCACCTGTACAGAGTCTTCATAACAAGAAATGACAATAAATGAGAGATTGTGTGTTATTTTAAATAACTTCCTTTTTATTTATGCAATGATAAAAGGGGGGGAAATGTGCTAAATAAAAGAAAAACATTGCTGAACTTGGACAATTAAGGCACACTTAAAAATGATGGTAGTTGTAAGAGAAAGTTTAACATGATTTGTTTGCAAATATTCCATCTGCAATAATTATTAGAAAAATAAAAACACTATTCGAATTTCGCTAAAATGTTGCTTTGCTGGCCATAAATGCAGTAAATCCCTGATAAATCCTGAGCACGCATACTTTGTCATGAGAAACTGAGTTATCACTAAAATGAGGAATCAAATGAAATACAAACACCGGAATGTCATGACCAGTCGAAAGAAAAAAAAAAAAACAGCAGCACATCACTGCATTCACTACTGCAGGTAGGAGCAGATGTACCCTGACTCCGAGCGAGTCTTTCTAATTAAACGTCATTTAAATAAACTAATATTCATTTTTTTATGAGCTCAAATATTAGAATGCAATATTTGTGAAAAATGCCCATCCCTACTGTACACATGCGTTATACTTACTGACAATAAAATGCTCTTTTGATGCCTTTGTGCTTGACACGAATATGGCGTCTTAAACTTGAGGATGAAGAGAAGGAACCTTCACAAAGAGTGCATGGAAACTTCTTCAGTTCCTTCAAAAAAAAAAAAACAGCACAAAATGACAATGTGATTTTGTACACCATTAATACAGTTATTATAGAGTTCATTCATGATGAGACATTTTTAATTTGGGGTTGCTGGTTCAGGACAAATCGGAAAACATGGAAATTTAACAAAGCAACGAAAAGCACACAAAATGCTACAAATCATATATATGTTTTTATGGCTTGTACATAAAAAATAGTTTTATTTGATGTATTGTACATTTTGCTGATTCAAATGTGACCCTTATAAATTGTGTAGTATTATTTATTAATCAAATAAAAGATCGAATTTTTTTTCTCACACTACTGCTACCATTCAAAAGGTATGAGTTTTTTTTATGTTTTTTTTTTTAAGTCTGTTATGCTCACTGCTGCTGCATTAATTTAATCAAAAATACAGTAAAATATTAATATTGTGAAATAATATTACAATGTACACTGCCGTTCAAAAGTTTGGGATCAGTAAGACTTGTAATGTTGTAATGTAGAAGGATCATGTGACACTGAAGACTAGAGTAATGATGCTGAAAATTCAGCTTTGCATCGCAGGAATAAATTAGATTTGTATGTATATTAAAATAGAAAAACGTTATTTTTACATCGTAATACTATTTCACAATATTACATTTTTCTTGTATTTTTTATCAAATAAATGCAGCCTTGATGAGCATAAGAAACTCCTGTAAAAAAAACATTAAAAAATCGTTCTGATCCCAAACTTTTGACCGGCAGTGTATATGTATATATATATATATATTTGTTTGTTTTTTTTGAGGTAAGGCTATTGAAACATTTTGTCAATGCAAATAATCTCCTTATTGTTGAGTTCTGCTTGAAGTCCTGACCTTGCCGTGCTGCTCAGACATGTGGGTGATGTAGATCTCCTTGTCTGTGTAGTGCATCTTGCACTGCGAGCAACTCCAACTCTGGGTAGCAGAGTTCCCATCCTCTCTCGCCATTCTTCCTCTGTCCTTGTCTTCATCACGTCCCCACTCCTCCCCATCAGAGCTGTCCATCTTTACCAAGTTGTTCTGTGCTGATGTGTCATAAATGCTAAAGTCTCTGTGAGAGTCCTAGAGACAAATTACAATGAGGTAATACACTCATATTGTCAATGAACAGAGCTTATTTTTGTTCGAACCAAACAGAAAACAAACCTTAACATGCTGAAGAAGGGAACTTCTCTGCGTGAACAGCTTGTTACATTCGGGACATTTAAAGACGTGCATCTTCTGCTTGGCTAAGTGAGTGTCAATATGGACGCTGAGCAATGCTTTTTGGGTAAAAACAGTCCGACACATCACACATTTATAGATCTCCCTGTCATAAAAAAACAATGGTTATTAGCACCTCAAAAAAATATGAGAACATTCAGTTTTTTTTGCTAACTATTTTAAAAAGGGTTGCTTGACTGCAGTTTCCTGTAGCTACAGTTTCAAGGGAGTTTCCCCAATGTTGGCACACACACACCAAGTTTTTACACTTACTTGGACTGCCTTGCTGTCTCATGAAGTTCAGGATGCTGGGAGGCGCAGTGGGCTTCAGCACCAGAGGAAGATTTGAAAGCCATGGGGCAGGAGGGGCATTTATGGAAGACCTCACAGTGAGCCGTCTGCATGTGAGTCTTCACAGAATTCAAACTATTCATTCCTCCAAACACCAAATGACAACAGGCACATCTGCAATGGAAAGGAGAGAGAATGAACAGAGAAAACTGCACTTTTGCAAAACCAACAGATGAAACAAGGGTTTTATTAGTACTCTGTATGTCTAGGTGGATACCTATATCCAAGGCGCCGTGAGTAGTGCAGGCAGGTATGATTCAGATGAGTGTTGAGGTCGTGAAACTGACAGATGACACCACATTCAGGGCAAACCAGCGGAGGGAGCTGCTGATGCAACCGGCGGTGAGCCGCAGCACTACACGAGTTCCACAACGGCATCGGAGGAGAACACTGCATACAACACTAGAGAGAAATCAAAATGTAATCATTTTGTCAATAATATTAATATTTATATTATTAATTACTGTTGAAGAATTAGTCCACACAAAAACAAAAAATTTTCTGACAATTTACTCACCCTCAGGCCATCCAAGATGTATGTGAATTTCTTTCTTCATTGAAAAAATTGGAAATTTAGTGTTACTTCACTTGCTCACTGATGGATCCTCAGAGTTTGAACAGATGATATAAACATCACAATAATCCACAAGCAATCCACACAACTCCAGTCCATCAATTAACATCTTGTGAAGTGAAAAACGGCATGTTTGTAATAAACAAATCCATCATTAAGACGTTTTCACTTTAAACCGTTGTCCCCTCACATCAAAATCCTACGACATATTTGTTTAGAACAGTTTTGGACTGTTTTTACTTGTAAACAGTGCATTATCTGTCCATATTTCTCTCCTGATTCAGACGAGACAACTTTTTGACTGGAGAAAGATTAATTATTATCGATAGAGGACTCAGTGGAAGCATTGGTTTGAAGTTAAAAAAATCTTAATGATGGGTTTGTTTATTACAAATGTATTAAAGGCTCCTGTAAGAGGGACCTTTATCATCTGCGGCCATGCCCTTACCTGCTAACCGCACGACCTTGCCTGTTTCTCCGCGATTCAGTTCGGTACCTGCTCATTCGAATTCTGCAGCCTTTGCACCAAAGGCAGAGCCCGGCCTACGTCCTGTAGCACCTTATTCTGGGTCTGAGTATGTATACAGGGGACCTTCTCCTACAATTCCTAAGTTCTGCCGACCTGATCCTGGTGAGTTCGCTCGGCTCCGGATAGCTCTGGAGAACCTGCTTCCCCCAGACGGGACTGAACTATTCAAATATCAGATCTTAGTGGATCACCTTAAGCTGGAGGAGGCTAGAATGATAGCGGATGCTTATCTTAACTCACCTACCCCATTCACTGATACGATGTCAGCGCTTCATGATAAATTTGGCCAACCACATCAGCTAGCTTTAAGGAAGATTGCTAGTGTTCTTGAGAGTCCTGACATAAAGCGAGGTGATATCTCAGCCTTCCAGAGGTTTGCTCTTCAGGTGCAGTCACTAGTGGGCTTATTGAGAACCCTGGGACGTGACGGTGAGCTGGAGCTGAGTTGTGGGTCCCACGTCGCACGCCTCCTGAGTAAGCTACCCCCTGAGCAGCGAGCTGAGTTTCGTCGGCATATGTTCCGCCAACCTGGCACAACCCCTAATCTGGTTGATCTTTCAAACTGGCTTCGTTACGAAACTTGGTGCCACAGTTATGATACTGAGCCGATGTCCAAGGGTTCGCACGCTAAATCAGATTCAGGGAAAAGAACACTGACCATTCTGCATGGAGTTGGAGAATCCCCGGTTGAGACTCCAGTCCATTGGAAAGGTCCTGTTTCACAAACCAAGCCTGCCAACGGCACTGGAGACATTCCCAGGTCCTAGCGGACCGATTCTGGTCCAGGTTCATACGGGACTACCTCCCTAGCCTCCAAACCCGGCAGAATATGGCAAGCCTCTCCTCTCAACCTAAAGGAGCAGACATTTGTTATGATTGTAGACCCCCAACTACGTCGAAGCTTATGGCCTGTAGGACAAGTGATCAAGACCCACCAAAGCTCAGATGGTCATATCAGGTCAGCTGATGTGTTGATAAAGGGTCAAGTTTATACCCGACCGGTGGCTCGCCTGGTCATCCTGCCGGCCTTACCAAAGGATGGACTTAAGGCCCCAACACTGACTAGTTAAGTCGCCTTTCATGGAAGCAAAGATGCTCTGCATCTTTGGGGGCGGCTGTATTAAAGGCTCCTGTAAGAGGGACCTTTATTATGAAACTGGAGTCGTAATAGTACTTCGGTAGAGGGCAGTGTAGTTTGATGAGCTGCCGCTGTTTGCTGTGTTTGAGTGATCTGTCCGAGCCGTCAGCTGCAAGGATGATACTTTCACTTTGTTCGTGGGGATTTTTGCAGATTTAATATCAAGGTGGTAGTCACTGACCACAAAGTAAGCCTATTTTATTTATATTTGTGTTTACAGTGATCGCTACAGTGTTATAGGCGTTTGTACCATATGAACAGCCCAGACATGTCCTGTAACGATCGTTCTGTAGTATTCAGATCGGGAATATTACTTAACGGGTAATTATTAATTCTTTATCAAGATGTAAATCAGTGTTATGATGTCTTAATGACGTGATGTTGTTCTGTTAAGCTGCTACAAGACCGAACGAGTGATTAGCGTTCTGTTTATGCAAATGTTACTCCGATGCGCCACGATTCTATCCATATATGGGAACTTTATGTTCATAGGGACAAATGATCACTCATGACTTGTAGTTTTCTGTGAAATACCTTGTTTCCCTTCATTTAACTGTATGTTCAGTAGAGAAATGCCAATTATGTGAATTATGAATGCTTTGGTTTCATTATGTAACCGTAAATATTACTATTGTTTATCTATATCTTTAGCTTATTCATTTCTTTATTGTACTTATTTTGCAGACTATCTACACCTTTGATTGTACCTCTGTGGCCCTTCCTTTTCTCTACTAATACACCATCGAAAGCTAATCACCTGTCTCTTCATTATTGGTGCTCTGACCGGCACCCGGGGGGTTTACTCATCCATTACCTGATCAGAACCTAACAGTCCCAAAGTCTCTGCAACAACAAACACACAGCTTTTCCCTTCACAAGACATTAATTTATAGACTGGAGTTATGTAGATTATTGTGATGTTTTGAGCACACATTTGGACTCTCATTCTGATGGCACCCATTCACTGCAGAGGAATCATTTGTTGAGCAAGCAAATTCTAAATTCCTCTAAATCTGTTTCAATGAAGAAACAAACTCATCTATATCTTGGATGGCCTGAGGGTGAGTAAATTGTCAGCAAATTTTAATTTTAGGGTAACTTTTCCTTGAATATAAACAGATTGTAATACCAATATTTAGTATTTTTATTTATTTTAATTATTTATTTGTTAAATAAATATTAAATTAGAATTAAAAACTATAATGAAAAACATAAACGTGTTTTTCCAGGTAGGACATTTTTGTAAACATGTTAGCAGGGCAAATGCAAGTTTACTGCAAAACTACTGGCCTAAATACACCAACAAAAAAAAAAGCTCTCTATTTTCCTGACAGCCACATATGCACTCACTCACCGCTTCAGTGCCACCAGGCTCCACCTCTTGAAAGTGTACTACTATTTCTGCCTTCCCTTTGAACAGACTCCAACACTCTGGACAGCTGAGAACATTGAGCATACAAACATACCAAGCAGCATCTTAATCACTCAGTCTCCATATATTTCATTAGAACCTCTACTTTTCCCTTTATTTCTCATTCATTCAAACATAAAAAACAAATAAACATTATCTAACAGTATGCTATTACCTGTTATCAGAAGATTGTGCCAGATGGACACCACTTTCTTTAATGGCAGACAGAGCGGAGGCAGCTGGAGAGAGCACACCTGTAATAGAGACTGTATTGTAAGCACATATACATATCAGCTAAATCATTCTGAAATGGACATGGGTTAATGAAATGTACTAATCTAGATTATTGTGGTCAATTATCTACAACACTGTAAGCCTACTATAATTTATAATTCAGATCCCTAAAGAATACTTTAGCAATGCACTGAGCCCAGAGACTGTTCTTTGAAAAAGCATGCAGAAAGAACAAGCCCCAGCTGAATTATTCCACATCAATGCTTGAGTCCTTTGTTTTGCAGTGCACAGATTCCCTGTGGATCGAGACAGTGACTGGTTGATTTCTGTGCTGCTCCCTGAGCCCTGTGTGCACATCTCCTAATGTTACCTACAACTATGAGTTTCACGTCTGTTTTTACTTCTGGAATGTTTTATAAATGTAATGTTTTGATCAGACACGAAGAAAATAGCAATCTTAAGAATCTAGTTTAAGAATTTCATTAAAAAACTAAATTCATCCAGACAAGGAGTTTCCAAACATTTTAATGCCAAGGACTCCGAAATATGATGATCCCAGTTCAAAGGTTTTGGGCCTGTATGATTTTTTTCATGTTTTTGAAGTCTCTTATGCTCACCAAGATGACATTTATTTGATCAAAAATATTATACTACTGTGAAATATTATTACAATTTAAAATAACTGATTTCAATTTTAATACACAGTGGAGATCAAAATTAAGAGAACAACCTATAATTTCCTAAATTTCAAGGTTACTGCTTAGTGCTATTTGAACTTATCCTGACAGGAGTAGAAGGGCAGTTTTTTTAAACATATTTCAACTGTTAATTTCAATAAATTTTATTCTGAAGCACAGTATAAAAAACTTAAATGAGATATTTGAAAAAGAACACAGATACCTCCAAGTTATTGGTGTTAATCTGGTAGCTGGTGATAATTTCCTTAATTATTTGACAAACCCTAACTGGCAGCATTCCTCCAATTTTCACAGAAACTGCAAGATGGCGGGCCACTCTAAGGTGACTGAAACCCTGCAACAGGAGGCTGTCAAAGGGTTATCAAAGCCAAAGGGATGACCTTTTCAGCCATAGCAAGAGAAGTTCCAAATCTATGATTTCTCGATTATTGCAGGTTTACAATGAATGACTAATTAATTCAAGTCTCCCATAAAGGCTGGTTGTCCACGTAAGACAAATGCAGAAGACAGGATAATGCAGAGACTCTCAATGGGGAATCGGTTCAACACTGCAGCTGGAATTGCTTGCCAGTTCAGTGATGAACGGGGTATGGATCTGTCTCAGGCAGGTTTAAGAGAAGTCGGACTGAAAATGCACTCTGCACAGTCTGCAGTGACCAAGCCTCTCATTAGCAGAAAGTATCAAAAGGCTAAGCTCCTCTTTGCTGAGGAGTATGTTGTGTGGAGAGAGGAGAACTGGTCCAAAGTTCACTTTAGTGATGAGAGCAAGCTTAATTTATTTGGGTCTGATGGGAAACATTTTGTTTGGCGTGAAACTGAGGAAAGACTGAAGCGCAAGTGTGTAAAGAAGTCAGTGAAAGGGAGTGTCATGGTTTGGGAAATGTTTTCTGCAGCAGGAGTTGGGTCTCTTATAAAGTTACATGGCAGGGTGAATGCAAATGTTTATCCGAACCTCCTTCAGCAACATGCAGTAACTTCCTTGCAAGCATCTCGCAAACAGCTTGCAATTTTCAAGCAAGTCAATGCCCCCGTCACACTGCAAAACGGGTAAAGCAGTTCCTTGATGCTAAGAACACTGAAATAATGAAATGGCTGGCCCAGAATCCTGACCAGAACCCAATTGAAAACCCACTACAGTTACCGAACTATGGAAGAGAGTGGAAGAAGATCACACCAGCGCTGTCTGAGAAACTAGTGATGTCCTACGGCCGCAGATGTGCTGAAGGGACTCTACACTTCCTACTAATTTTGGGCAGCAGTAACATGTTAGTAGAACATTGGTGGTATACCGACAGCTAATATTCCTTCAAATTTTGAGAGATGAAGATTAACAATTTTTCAGAAAAAATAATGTATAGATTGTTCTCGAATTTTGATCTCCACTGTATGTTAAAAAGCACTTTATTCCTTTTACCATTACTCCAGTCTTCAGTGACACTTTATTCTTCAGAAATAATTTAATAATTTTATCATTATCAATACTGAAACAGTTGTGCTGCTTAATATTTTTGCATACTTTTTTTCAGGATTCATTTATAAGTTCAAAAGAACAACATTTATTTGAAAATCTACTGTAACATTATAAATGTATTTCATGTCAATTGTGATCAATTTAGTGCATCCATGCTGAATTAATTTACAAAAATTTAAAAAATCTTAAATTAAAAATCTTACTGACCCAATCTTTTGAATGGCAGTGTAAAAAGACCCATTTTCACAGTGTCAGAAAAGTATTATCAAGCTGAAGGTGACATTGGCAAGGAAAAATACCTTAAAGGAGTCATATGATGCTGCTAAAAAGAACATTATTTTGTGTATTTGGTGTAATGAAATGTGTTTATGTGGTTTAAAGTAAAAAAAAAACACATTATTTTCCACATACTGTACATTATTGTTTCTCCTCTGTGCCCCGCCTTCTGAAACGCGTCGATTTTTACAAAGCTCATCGGTCTGAAAAAGCGAGGTGTGCTCTGATTGGCCAGCTATCCAGAGCGTTGTGATTGGCCGAATACCTCAAGCGTGAGACGGAAATGTTACGCCCCTACCATACTGTGTTGATGCCGTGTCCGGCCGGAGCGACGAGACAAAAACATGAAAACCCATTACAAACGAGGCATTTGTTGCATCCAGTGGGGACATAATTACTGATTATAATGACTTATACTGTCTTTTTACGCGTTGCGTTGCGCCGCGTAAACATAAAACCATGTCTGCATTTGTGATCAGAGAAATGACAAACAACAAGTGCTATTCTACACTATTCTACACTGCCCAAGAATAGCACTTGAATCATCGCGTTTGAATCATCAGTGGCAAATCCTTTAAATGAAAACGTACTTTCTTAACTTTTATAAAGAATATCTCTTTGGATTTGAGACTTTAGTCTTTGAAACTTTACAGATCTTCTTTATGCACCAAGAGCTTGTAACACTACAAAGAGAAAGGAAAAAATGAAATTGCATCATATGACCCCTTTAAAGCACGACAAAGTACATTTAAATATATTTTTCCACAAAACTGTAAGCAAATTTGTTTTGTATTTTTTACTGTTAAAATCTAGGGCTGTCAACATAATAAAATAATTGCAATTGCAAATGTCAGGATTTCTGACCATTTTTTAGAAAGCAAAATTTAAAAATGAAATGGAGAAAAAAAAGCGTTACATTTATTTAATTGATCCTCGTTTAACATTTAAAATACATTTTGTCAAACTTTTTTGGTTTCTCTCAAATTTTCCACAGACCCCGCGTGGACCTTATTTTGCTGATCCAAAATGTGCAATGTAAACCTAAAATATTTACTCCCTCAATCACAAGTCTTGTTAGTTCATGATGACTATAAAATATTGAGTGTTTTTGAGAAAAGGCCATATAAGTATTTTTTTTCCCCTAGTGCACAGAGACAAACCTATAGGCACGGTATCCTGCTGGCCAATCATCTGCTCCACACTGACAGGACTCATGACGAGGTGTGAGCACTGCATAACCAGCCCCTTATCCTTGTGCTCTCGTGCATGGAGCAGCAGGCTGCACTTATTAAAGAAAGCCAGGCGTTTGGAGCAGTGGTTACAGGACACCTCGATCCTCATAGAGCGCCGATCATAGTGTCTCGCCAGGCTGCGCTCCAGAGCAAACGCATCCCCGCATTCAAGGCAACGGTATCCCATTGAGGGCAATCGAAGACCCCATTCTGGGGGAGGAGGGATGGAGAGGTCTGGCTGATAACTTGGCAGTGGATTCTTACTGTTTAGGATTTTGTTGAAGGCCTCAACGAGGCTAGACTGGCTGCGTGAGATCACAGCTCCCGGGCTGTTTACAATGGAGGCTGGTTTGGCTGTCCCAGGATTCCCATTCATCGTTTTCTTCCCCAAAGAGCGAACCCCAGGCATGGATGAAGAGGAGATGGAAGGGAGGGTTGACATTCTGGTGATCTTGACTGCAGTGGTGGAAAGACTGGCGGCCATTTGATTCTGTGCCTTGCTGGCTGCAAATAGCATAGCTGTGCTGGCATCCTGAAGGGTGGATACTGGCAACATTGTCACATTTGAACCCTGAGCACCAGACCTCTGAATCCTATGGGTCCCTGCTTGAACTTTAGAGCCACCAGGACCCTTCCCTCCTTTGGGAGCCACTTTAGATACAGTACGTGTGTTTCCAGCAGTCGTTTTGACAGTCTTGATTCTGACTTTGAGAGGCTTGGAGGAGATCGTGCTGGATTTGGTGACATCTTCAGAGGGTGAATCTACCAAAGTAGGCTCGGTGGATTTCCTTTCTGTCTCCTCAGCTCCACCATCCTCTGTATTTAGTTGAAGACCACTCTTCTCCTGCACACTCACGCTCATGTCAACAACTTGATCTTGAGGGGCTTCTTCTCTTCTGACCTTCTGTTCTGGCTCATTGGCTTCTTGTTGATTTGATGGCAGAGATGAATGGGGTTGAGGGATTTCTGGCTCAGGGCTTTCAGGAGAATCTCTCTCCTCGATTATGTGCTCCACGTCTTTTTCTTCAACTGGCAGATCATTTGTGGAGGTCAGAGATTTTGGGTTGATGCTGCTGGTGTGTTGCTGAAGTGTTGGATTCTGGACAGATGGCTCCTCAATTTGAGTGTTACTAACTGGTAAGGAAGGGGATGAGGGAGAGGATGGCTGAAACACACTTGAAGGAGACCGCTGCATGCGTGGTACCTTGGGAGTGGAGCACAGCTGGGAATCCGGGCTTTCCTGTATGACAAGCGCAGGGCTACCGAGGTCTGGTTCAGATTCTTCATCTTCAGATAAGCGTCGGCGGACTCCTGCCCTCAAAGTGCCATTTAATGGTTGTACTTCCTCACAATCAACTCTTGGAGAAAAGTTTGGACCAATTAAATGTGAAGATAGGATGGGGGGATCAGACAGGGGTAAAGACTGAGGCGGGGAGAAAGTGCTAGAAGGGTGTTTAGAAGAAGTGCCATACTGGTTGTCATGACTAGTAACACTAGGAGCGGAGAGAGACCAAAGCTGCCCATTGGGCTGCATCTGAGTTAGAGCTGGTGGTGGAGAGGGTTCTGTAGGCCCATCTGAAACAGTGTCGAGTCCATTATAGATGAACGGATCTGGAGGCACCAGGCCATCTTCGCTGGGACCTTTCTGGGCAGACTCATGTGATGCACCAGCACCAGAAATGTCCCCAGTTACATTTCCTTCACTTTTGTCATCAGAATGTACACTATTTTTTACAATCACACTGACCATGGAGGGGTCATTATGAGGAGCTAAAGGAACAGGCTCAGGGCTTTCTGGAGGTCTTAGGCATGGACTTCCACTTCTCTCCTTTCCAACAACACCGCTGCGCTCATTATGATTACCATCAGTGTCAGACTGAATTGCTTCTTTGGCGTCAATGTCTGGAATGTCAAATGCTGCCAGCAGGTCATCAAAATCTGGTGTCTTCATGTCCCCCATTCCCGTGAGGATGACAAATATCTGCATTACAAGACAACACAAAAAGAACAGATGTGATCAATTGTTCATAATGTAGAAAATACATTATGAAGAAAATCTGTTCAGATGCATCAACATATGTAAAACACGAGAAAAGGCACATAATTTGCTTATCAAAAACAATAAATGTAAGAAGAAATATTATGTGTGTGTACATACACACACACACACACACACACACACACACACATCTATGTATGTATGTATCTTGGTCAGTTTAGCTAATAGCTTAAACGTCAGGGGTTAGTTACAGGAAGTAGGCTATCAATAACATTAGTTCCTATCAATAACATTAGATCTTTAGCGTATGACATATTACATTTATGCAGTAGCTTTGCCCAGCTGCAACTTGATCTACAAGTATGAACTTTACAGTAGTCCTTTCATATGCTAGCAAAACCAAAAGCACTTTAGATGTCTTTTGCACGAGTCACATATTTTTCCAGATTTATTTACCACCTGTTTTCAAAGAGAATGTAGTTCTGCAACAACAAAAAAACTGCCAGTCTGCAGGTCGCTATAATGTATCGTATTTGTTATATGTTATAGTCTTGCTGAAGTGTCTAGCCCACAGCTACAGTAGATTAGCCTAATGCGCAGTCTGCAACGTCTGACGTCGATAATACAACAAACAAGAAGTTCGTAAAATAAAGATGGCAATTATAAGTGCGCATATTTATTTATAGTGAAAATAAAGCGATAAATGCGTGTATTGTTGCTCTATGTGTCCAAGCGTCAAACTTTTTTTACCTGACCAAATATTCTCGTCTACTCCTGGACTGACCCAGGACGGCGCACAGCATTTGCGTCACCTCTAAAGAAAAACAACTCTTTCCAGTGTACACATGCAAATATCGATGCTGTCAGAAGCGACATAAAGAAAAGAGAGCCGTCGATTTCTGATGCTTTGTTCGGTTGCTTCACAAATGGTCGGTGTGAAACTATATGACGCAGCTGTTTTTCAATGCGTACCTGTTGCATGTGACAGTAGCGAAAAGGAGTTTATGTCCATGATACGAGATAACCACACACGGGCAACTTGTTGATTTTAACAATCCATTCACTCCGGAAGAGGAAGTCAAAGCTGATTTATACAGTTTCATGCAGCAAATCTGTGACATTAGTGTGTGTGTGTGTGTGTGTGTGTGTGTTTTGGACGGAGCAAGACCACGTTGTTCAGCTATGTACTGAATGGTTCTACTGTGCTCAATCAACGTCAAAAAAAAATAGTTCCATCGAGTCGGATCTTTTGAATGAATGAATTGGTCGAACCGCTTCACGAAGGGTTAACTTCTCAACTTGGAATACAAATTTATATTAATGTATATACATAATTGCAGAGTCTTTAAAGGAGTCTTTTTCTTGCCATAACAACATTAGATAGTGTTTTTCAAATGGTTGTAATGTATGCGTAACAGTAATACAATGTTTTAAAGATTAACATGTATGTAATTATGGAATGCCAAACCTGACTAATTTGGAAATAAATAAATATACAAAGAAATGTAAATAAGCAAAAAAAAAATATATATTTAGTCTCCAGCGGCACCATTTTCCAGAACTGCAATCTACCTGGAGTCTCCAGAAGTACAAGGTGTCAGGTTCTCAGAGACTTAGGTTAAGTATAGAATCCTAAAAAATGACCCCTACTTAATAAGAATCACATTCTGAAGTGTAGTAAAATACTTGAAGACTGATTATTTTATTTATTTATTTATATATATATATTTATTTATATTCACATTTGGTAATAATCTTTGTCTATAAAAAAACATTTTTCAGACAGAAACTTTAATATCTAAAGAGCTATATAAAAAAAAAAGACCTTCCAAGTCATTAAAAAAATTCTGCTATAAATGCAGTTAAAAAAATAAATGGACAACATTCTCTGTCTCCAATCCACAAAAATCACATTTGGTATCTATATCAGTACAAAATCGTAAGAAAAAGTTCCACTCAATGCACTGAAATTTTTAATTGCAATATGTTTTTGAAGAAATTGAGCTTTATTCTTTTAATAAATTCCTATGTTGGACACTTCATGCACTCAACTGTCGCAGCTTTAATTACGTAGCGAAGGGGGAGGGGCTATCAGACAGATTATGAATGACAAAATAACCTTATATAACTCATACACTACATGTTTGAGTACATAGTGCATAAGAACATAGTGTATAGTACGTCATTTGGGACGCAATTACCTGACGACGTAAAAGAACCGAGTTCACTGAAACGAACTGTTCGAAAGAACCGATTCGCATAAATGAATAGAAGTGTCTTGCGTTACATTTCAAGCATTACTAAATTGTATTTATGTGATTATGTACCAATATTTTCTCCTAACTCCCTCTCCTTCCACGCGTAGTACCTTTGTTTTCACTGAACTCATTTTCTTTTCAGGAATGTTACATTTTAACTAAGTAAACCACTCTATTTAAACGTCACAAGAACAGTTTTGTTAGGCCAGTAAAATGGAGTCTATATTCCTCTCATGTGAAATCTGTAAAACCGCACATTTTTCAACACATTTCTTTGTGTAAAATATTTGAATGTGGGGAAAAATAATGAATGCACCGTTAACATACATGAAAAAATGCAGGATAGTTTTATTGTGACCTTCATATAACAAAAGGATTCAACAGAAAAAGTCAACAATGAAAAAAAAGTTTCCTATTTATTAATACTGAGCTGTCGGTTAATGCTGCGGTATGGCCAGTATTTCAATACATTATTTTTCATAGATATTTTAGTTGTATTGATAGTTTTTATGGAGCTAAATTGTGTTTGATTCACGTTATGCGATGCAGTGTAGTCCTGCTGGCCTCGTGGGGGCGTGATCAGGTCTTTTGCTTGCACCCAATTGCTCACTTCAAGTGCCACTCACTTGTCACGCAAAAGCCAATTGGTCAGCTCGTAGCATCGTCATCAGCCAAACACATTCATTGCGGTTTTGGTGTGCGAGGTGTTCGAGGACTGGAAAATTTATGTTCAAATAAAAACAATTATACTAAAATGCCTCTGGAATAGGAAAAAGCTGTAAACATACTATTGTTGGTTTTCTGTTCATTTAATGCACGGCGAAAAGGAGAAATCCACAAAAGAGCGGGACACACACACACATTAGGGGAGGTAAGCTAACCCAGTTAGCATCAACACAATTCAATAAAGCTCACTCGATTCTGTATTTTACAGATTTTTTTTAATATGTTCATATATTGGCCTTTTAAGACAACTATAGTGCGACGTGTGCATTTACATTTTTGAGCAGAAATGGACACGATGATCACAATGAAGCTTTCATCCGTGTATTGCGCGCCGTTTAGGGCTCCTGACTTGCAGGAATTGTGGTTGTTGGAATGTTTTTACACATGCGGACCATGTTCAGGTGTTATGAACACGGCTTTTCTCTTCAAAATGAATGGCAGTTGAAATGCCATTTACAGCCATGATGTCTATCTACATGATCAGACAGGTTGTGTTGACATCCCAAACGGAGTCATTTAACTGTTTACAAAAAGGTTAACGTTACTTTACCCATGTGATGTATATTTGTAACAGTATATCTGATGTTGCTAGAGTTCTATATTTCATTTGCAATCATAGGGAAAATATGAGACTGGTGCCAAATTTGCACTGCAAAGGTGGCTCAGTCAGAAGAGCTTCTGAAGTGGCATTTAGGGTTTTACACAGAATCTTTAATGTTGCTCAGAGATGGCATAAATGGATTTACACAAATTACAATCATATACTTTGTGTCAGCAGACATAATACAGTTTTGCTTTTATGTGGCATTGCGATCTTACAATGAATTTTGAGCAGGCACAGTGCAGCCTTCATTTAAGTCTTATAACAAATAATACATGCTGCATCTTTTTTTCACCTATTGACCAAAATGCTAAATGCAGGACTGAAAATTGCTGTAGAGTAATATATGTGATTGTTAACCCCCTTAAAGGGGTAATTGTCTGCTGGCAAAATGAGGTTTAATAAAAGATATTTAACAATACAAAAATGGTTAAAAACTTACCCTTTAACTCTAAACTGAAAATGGATCCTGCGGCAAAAAAATACATTTTTTGGAATGGCCAAGTTAAATTTCTGACTGTTACAGGACTTTATCATCGAAATGTTGTGGAAGGTCCTGCATAGAGCAGTTTGTGCAAGGAAACACGCCAACAAATTCCTCCAGGCCAATATGAGAGACTGATCCACAGTTGATGGGAAATGTAGCTACCAGTTGACCTACAGAATACACTTTTTAAATGTTGCTTTATGATTCCTGCTGTGACATGGTAACACTGTTTTCCCTTTCTTTCAAAGTTATGGAGGTGGATGCCAGTTTGACCTCAGGGATGGAGATGGAGTTGGATCCAGAGTTGGAAGAGGAGTTAGGGGTGTCTTTGGACGAGCTGCGCAGTTGGATCGAGGAGCAGGTGGACAGCAGCGAGGCCGTGCGGCAGAGGAAAGCTCAGCTGGAGCAGCTGCAGGAATGGGTTGAGCAGAGGGAGAAGGAGGTTGCTGATACGGATGCTCTTTGCTCTAATGCCTCGGAGTAAGTTTAAAATGCAAGACTTTATGCATCCCAGTAAATATAAACAGAAGCATATTGGCACAAAAAGCACAAACAAAATTACAAAGTATGCAAAGACTGAAAACAAGTGACTACTTCAGGTTATGACAACATGATTGTTAATCCAAAAGCCACCATTTTATAGGGTTAAAAATGTAGTATTTCTTAATTCTAGAGGAGAAAGTACATGGATCTGTCTGTTTTCAAAGGTCTGTGGTTCAGTGTGAATCTTTGGTGAAGGAAGTGTACAGTAAGATGGGTCTGGTGTATCATGAGAGCAGCTCAGAGGATGAGGGAGGAGGCAAGGCAAACACTTCTGAGGTCATTGAGATTGACGATGATGATGACGACGATGTCATTGCTGTGGGATGTGGTAAGATAGATGCTACATTTTATGTATTTATTTCGTTTTTTTAGATGTAAAATATGTACAGTAACAGCATGATTTCTTCCACAGTGGTTCCTCCCAAGAAGGTTGTAACTCCCAGCAAGGACCCAGCGGTAAGAGAAATGTGTCATTTGTATCACTTAGCAAAATTAAATGTGCGGTCACATGTAAACTTGGTGAATATTCACGGGTGAAATCCAGTCATTTCATTAGAAATACACGCGATCTGGAATTTCTTGTGAGGGTGAAAGATTTCCCCACAGATTTTGCATCGAGTTCAGATTTGGTTTGAAATTGACTAAGACAATGAAATTAACAAAAGACGATGGACATTTTTACCTTTGAAAATACACCAAAATGTCATAAATATAACTGCACACTAATGCTATACTATAAGCTTTTCATAAAGCTGTTTGTCAGGTGATTTAGTTGATGTTTCCTTTTGTGTGTTGTGTCTGTATTTTATTTAAAGTTTAAGGAGGCTTCAGCTGCTCTTCAAAGAACATCTCAGCAGGTGCAGAACCTGGCCCAGTCTGTCAATAGAACAGCCCCCTCGAGTTTAACACCAGCTAAAGCTGTGGCCCCTCCCACACAATCCCATGGTGCTCTAGCTGTTCCAGCAGTGTTTATGTCCTCAGGCCCAAGGAACGCACCCACTCAACCAAACCCTAATTTAAAACAGGATAATATCAAGATCAACATGACACTGTTGGGTAAAAAACGAACCAAGACGTGGCATCGTGGAACACTTGTTGCCATCAAACAAGTGGGTAAGTGCATGCAGTTTATTCCCTGTATTGAATAATCCTTCTCTGAGATTGTACTGTACATTTCAACCTGCTATGTGTGTGTATGTGAAGGCTAAATATAATCAAAAAGCTTGATTTATTATTTTGATATCAAATTTTCACAGGGAACAATTTTAAGTACAAGGTGAAGTTTGAGAATAAAGGGAAGAGTCTTCTCTCTGGGAACCACGTGGCATTTGATTACCACCCAACACTGGAG